GCATCTGCCAAGATGGCTGCCAGGGCGCCTCTTGGTCTGGGCCAGTCAACCGTCGGCTTCTTCCCGCTCTGGCATGTCTTGGCACGCTACGCTGGTGCGCTGCACGGGCCTACGTCACAACGCAGAGCCATTTCCCATAGGGCGCGCGTAACATCCTCCTCTCCTACAAACTGTGTTGCGCCCGACGATTGGCTCGTCGCGGCAGATGCTCTCAGGCCTTCACGAGGGGTTGACGCGCTGCTTAGCAGGCGGCTTCTCGTTCGTGCGTACGACTTCTGCCCTTGTGCGGGAGTCGTAGCACACTAGGCAAGCGTACTTGCTCAGTCTTGCGGAGTTCCCTATACGGCCTGCAAGCCCGTGAGTGTCGCACTGCGCTGCATCTTGGGTTAATAAACCCGTTGTTGTTCTTATCCTGCCTCGTGTGTGGTTTCTGCGCCGTGCCGGAGAAAACGACGAACCTGGCCGCAACGTCTTCGCATGCAGTGGCAGTGGAGGACGTCGCATCCCTACATGGTTGCCCATAGTAGGTAAGCCTTGTGCAAACCTATCTCCACAAGGCTAATCAGCGTGTTGAGGGGGGCGAGAAATGTTCAAACATGGCGGACAACTTCGGGATGCCAAGGAGCACTTCCGAGTAAATTATTGAAGAAGGCAGATAACAAGTTAAAGTGGCGGAGCACATACGTAGGGAGCCTGTCGTGTGACGGGGGAACTTGCAGAAACCGGTGAAGATGGCGATGACGAGCGCTTAGACGAGAGGTCTCGCGAGTTGTCATCCCGCTTCCCGACAGCTGTTCCACACGAAGTGTCTGCGGACAATTTCGTGGAAGCGGACTCAGGCCAATGAGAGCCTCGCTGACGAGGACACAGTAACTGCACTCGCAGGGATCCAGGATGCCCAGGCCGAGAGCTTGAGTGATGAGGAGGATTTTCTGGCCGAGGCGCTGCCTACACGCACGTACCACTCGCAGAAGTGGTAGCAGCATTCAGCATCCATTCGTCGTATCGGCGACATGGAGGGAACCGGGCTGTCGCAACTGGACAGCCTTGATAAGATCGAAATGAGCATCTTGAACTTCATTTAGAAAATGAAGAAGTTGGCCATGATGAGCCATTTTTCTCACACAAATAAATCATACTGTTGCGGCGTATATGCAGAATTAGTTGTCATTCTTGAATGCGCCTTGAATTCTTGAATTCGGGGCCTGTATTTTTTTATATTCAAATTTTCTTATATCAAACCAATTCGCGATCCCCTTCGAGTTCGATATATCCACGTTCGACCCTATTCGACTAACAGACATCTGCCGTTTGAGTCGCTACAACACGTTGACTACCTCGACTTTATCACATCATAACCCCAAGCACTATCCTTTTTTTTGGTTCGTATGTACAGGAACGTAGGTTCGCAAGCAATTCCAGGTATTTACAAGAATGTGTTAATGTAATAATACTCCTATTGCTGCATCATGTGTTATATTGCGAGTATGTATTGGTGTACAGTCGAAACCCGCAATAACAAGATCGCCGGGGAAACCGAAAAATTCCGTTTTCGCGAGAATTTCCTTGCCGCGAGTATGAGACATAAAAACAGTGATACGGCCAGCAGAACGAAAATTTATTGCCAGAAGTCGGTCAACTTACTTTGCCGACCCTTGCCACGCACAGACAATCAAAGGCCTCGAAACGACCTTCGAAGATTTGCTTTTTGTGCACTTGTTTTTAAAGGGAGGGGCCAGCTGAGGCGGAAAAGTTAAACACGGAGACATGCTCTTTTGGTAATTTTGAGTACATATAACACGCATACGCGCATATTTTTGACACTTAACCTTTGGCGGGGGGGGGGGGGGAGGGGGGGGGTAGAATAAGGTCCGCACCGTGGTAGAAAATTCGTTAATGCGGGATCGCTGTCCAAAAACACTTCGTTCCCGCGAGATACGTAATACATGGGCTTCTATGAACATTCGCTTGGGATTTGGAAATATTTCGTTGCCGCGGGGATTTCGCACTCGTGGGGTTTCGTTATTGCGGGTTTCGACTGTAATCTGTTTTATGTACATATACTTATATTCTGGTCACAAATTGCTACTGATATTTGTGGTGAAAATACTGTTGAATATGAATCGCTATGTGTACATTGCGTGCATAGACAACTGATTGTTGTGAATTTTTTTACAAGTGCTTGTTTCCACTATTTCTAAGCGTACAAAAAAAATTTTGGTACAAAAAGTAGACACCAGGACACAGCGCACTGTCCGTCTTCCTTTTCTACTTCAATTTTTTTTTGCACCCTCCGCTAAGATGAATTATCAACTCGCTCAGCAGTCCGTGCTTGTTTCCACTCCTGCAAGGGGTCTGACTTGAGCCAGCAGTACTCTGTAAATAAATAAATATACCTAGAGCATGTAAGCCATTATAACAAGCTTTTAAACTTAAAAAATGGTGAAGCGATGCGATGGTAATATGTTCATTTAATCTTGAAGTGGGGCTTTACAGGAACGTGGATTTCCCCTGAACCAATGTTACCATGGCTTAGCAATCCTTTATTGTAGCGAAACCATTTTTACAGGTCATTGCATGCAGACTTAACATGCATTTAGATAGGTGCTTTCACCACTTAGTACCTCTGCACTGCAGCAAAACCACATGTACAAGGGTTATATGCGAACTAACAGACATCCATTCATTCATTTCGAATACTTCCAAATTTTTAACAGTCGAAATTCGAATTGAAGTTATATTGAATGTAATATTTGTTCGAATATTTTAATATTCGCACAAGCCTCTTCAAGAGCAACTGCGACTTGGTCGGGATTCCAGGACGCATGACACTAGTGCCACAGCACCTGGATGTCTCATTGAACAAGCGGTTGAAGGTCCACCTTCGACAGGAGTACAAAGAGTGGGTCTGGAACCTTGGCCGAGAAAAAGTGCAGACAGGAAAGATGCAGAAAGCGTCCCCGTTCACCGTGGCAACATGGATTTCGGATGTGTAGAAATGAATCGAAGTCTATGTTGTGGCGAAGTCATTGAAGGAGTGTTGTAACACGAACAACTTGAACGGCACCGAAGACAATTTCCTGTGGGACACAGAGTCAAAGCTTGAATGGTGCGATAAACTCGAGTGGTGTGACGAACTCGAACGGCAGTGATAGTGACTGACCTGATACAGAAGTGGTAGGTTCACTGTGTGTACCTATTTTCTTTTTATTTATTTTTTTTTTTTTCAAAATAAAATGTGATTCCTTGCGTTAACCTTCTTGATATGTTGTCGCAAAAGGGGGTTGGGCTGTGTGGTCATTTTTCGATTTTTTCAAATCTGAGCAACCCCCCACCGCTAACTTTCATTATAATGATCGTGAAAAAAAAAAGTGCTTAGGATCGAGTAAATACAGGAGTTGTCTTATAGAGAACAAGACAGTGCATTGTATTTGTGTGCATAATTTGGTGCAGCCAAAGTGTTGCCGACAACACTCCACACCTAAAACGCAAAGTGCTATTGCAAAGTGCAAATTGAGTGCTATTTCCTCAGGCCCTCTACCTCTTTTTGTGGAGTCCCAACTGATGTGGCGGACAAGGGTGTTCTCCCTTCGAGTCCAGAGTTCCCAATCTGCTTCCTAGAAGTCAATATCTGAAAAATCTTTGGCATATGACTTTTTGGACTTCTTGCCCAAATTTCAGGTCCGAAGCAGCATTAATAAGGCCCCACCTCTCTCCCACATCTCCATGTTGGAACTGGTGCTTTTTTGAGTCTATACATTTGTAACCGTAGCAGAACCAGAAAGGCAGCATCCCCACAATATAAAAGTGTGATGGAATGAATCATATTAAAAATCTGGAGGGGCCACTGTCAATCAGACGTTGAATGTACAGTAGACTCTCATTGAACAGAACCTGAAGGGACCAGTAAAATATGTCCCGTTTAACAGGAGTTCCGTCTTTTGAGAGATGAGCAGGGTGCAGGAGACAAGCACGAAATCAATAATATCAGAGGCAGTTGTTTAAGCAGCAGCTCCGTTTAACTATCTTCTGTTTACTGAAAGTCTACGGTATACTGTATGTACTCGCGTAATCCTAATGCTCACACAATTCTTGCACCCGAAACACTGACCAGCAAAAACACTTACTTTTCTCCCAAGTAATCACTGCGCCACCAAAAATGGCAGCAAAAATGTCCGTCTGCTCCTTATAGCCACTGATGATGATAGCACACAAAATTCTGGTGCCATCTCTTGAACACCATGAGTACTGTCAATGCGCAAGCCCGAATCTAATCAAGTGCACGTTGCGGCGTGTTAGTATACGCTGCGTCCGTTCTGTGGTTGCGCTATGGGGCGATACCAAAGATACACAGCTGCTTTCAAGTTGAAAGTGCTTAATCATGCACTGAAACGGCAACAGGGCTGCCAGTCAGCACCTCAGGGTTGACGGGTTTTGTGTTCTCTACTTGCGATTGCACCACAAGCAGCTGAAAGCTACCATGATGCATTGGGCTTTTCATGCGCTTTAAACTGGGATAGATTTCGTCAGGCGACCACTGTGGAGGATTTCGTGTTAGATGGCCATTAGGCCAATGTTAACGTCGCACGCTCACCTATAATGGGCTCCCGTTGAAGTGACAAGTTCTATTGCTACGCTCGCAAGCTTTGCGTACGCATTTCTCTTATTTGTTTGCGGCTTTTGAGTCTCAATTACATCTCGCCTTGTGCTGAACCTGTGGTTTTATTGTTAAGGTAAAATTAGTACATCTCAAAGCTTGTAGTTAGGCTCCAGTTTGAGATTCCCAATTTACAATCCCTCATTTCCTTTTTTGCTCTGTGTGTCTTCGCAGAAAATTTTCCTCGCATAATTCTCGAAGTCCTCATTTTCATCGGTTTTCCACGAAAAAAAGAAGTGTGGGGTATAATGCTTTTGCATTTGAAGGTATGTAGAACATATTGTCAGATTATTGAATGCGTGCGTTTTTTTTTTTTTTTTTAAGGATGGACGGGAGCACCCACCTTGCAGAGTTCCTTCTCCTCGTGAGCCATGATTGCAGCCAGGGCGTCGACGAGCACAGATGGGTCCATGCCCTGCGTGGGTGGCCGAGTCAGGCGTAGTGGGCCGGCCTGCTGTGCCACTGCCACCAGGGTATAGTGGTGCACCAGAGACACCAGGAACGGCAGGACTTGGCTGTGAAGCTCCTTGATAGCCGCTGCCGCTGCGCATGCGTCAAGCAGAGATGCAGCAACTGTATCATGAAAACACTTGGTTCCATAAACTGCAATACTTCTCCAACTTCCAATTGGAGTGCAGCTTTATCGACCGCATGCAACGAGCATTTCTCAGCTTTCGGGTCTGCTGTGTCACCTAACTTTTCCAAGAAACAGGCACACAAAAGGCAAATCACAGAACCTCACTGAGAAGTCTCAGATACATCAAGCAGGAGGGCTACATCAAGTAGCCCTCCTGTCGGCTCCCTCCTTACTCTCCTTTTCTTTTTTTTCTCTCACGCGTGCGCTGCGGCACCACCAGCACTTCCTAGAATGCTGGCACATCAACAGCCAGCAAAAGCATCAACCATACCACGGGGTCACTGGCCTGCCTTCTCTACAATAGAGTTTTCTTTTTTTCGTTAATGTGCGTGACCTTCAAAAGCTGCACAGCCATGCCATTTCGCTGCAGCTACTCGACAGGCCGCATGTTCTGGCACTATTTTTGCATCTCAAAAATGTACATTGCACCAAATTGAACCATGCTACCATTGTTAAAAAATAAAAGAAGAATCCTTCTAAGTGGCTAGACAACTTTGCTCAAGTGGCCAGACAAAGCACTGGACGTGTGGGGCAAAACTAGATATCCGGGAAATTTTCTTAAGACCGGTACAACCGGGAGAAACATTCAAAATCCGGGAGTCTCCCAGGTGCTTGTGTGTACCGTTCGGGTAGGGCAAGAGGCCCATTCCAAAACGATGCACCATCTCCAAAGAGAGCAGCTAGGCGCCTCGTGTCTTCACCACAATAGAGAGTGGCGACACGGACGGGTGCCGAAGGGTTCCCGGCAATAGAGGCAATGGCCTCCTTGTGCAACGCGGCATCCGCTAACAAGAACAGCAAACAAAAGTCCTGCGAAGTAGATATGTTGCGACGAGCCCGAATCGCGCAGGCAGACGGACTCACTAAGAGCAGCCAAAGCTTTGGGCTTTTGATACCGCATTGGGCACCAGTGTAGTGTACACGCATCCTGAAGGGGTACGACCACTAGCGTGGGTCCAGTCTTAGCGAGCCGCGGGGCACGCCTTAGCTGACGCTGTGGCGAGAACAGGGTATTGCTCAAGGCCGCAACACTTTATTGTCTGCGGCAACACTAAAACTAAAAACGTAGTACAGAGCCCGTTGCAAAAAAGGCGAATAAGCAAATGGGTTCACCCACGCCACCGCGAAAAGTACTACGTACACAGGGTGCCGCGAGGACGTCTGCGTGGGCAAAAGTGATTCAGGATGATGTTAGGACAACGGGGCCTGGTTGCTCGAGGGAGGGCAAAGGCGCTTGCGTTGGCTTCGGAGAGATACGGGTCGGCGTAGCCTATCTCAAATGCCGTTGCTCTCTCTCAAATGCCGATCTGTGATGCACCTGTGTCATGCTTCTCCCATTTCCAACCCTCCCACGTAAAAACCCATCTCCTTCCAATGCCGCGTGCAAAGAGAGAGAGAGAAAGAGAAAGAAAAAAAAAGCCGTCGTTGGGTTGAATGAATGTGTGGTTGACGAAAAAAAAAAAGGCACTATCTTCTGCAGCCCTTGCCCCTTGCGGGAGCACGGCTCTGCGCCTTGAGGGAAGGAGGGGGGTCCTCTCAAGCGCCAGTGCCACGCTTCCCCCTTATAACCCTTCTTTTAATGACGCGCGCAAAGAGAGCAAAAAAAAATTGCCTTGAAGTGTTGGTTTTCTCTCAAATGCCGATCTGCTTCTCTCTGCGTGGAGACGCTCCTCCTTTCTCGTCACGTGCAAGCGAGAGGCTCCCCTATGCAGTCGTTGTCGTCATCTTTAGAAAGTGTCGGCACTAGACATTTCCACACGCAACTTCTCCCTTGCCAGGAGAATGCTTAAACCGAAGTAGAAATGCTTTGCAAGCTGCGTGCGAAATTGATTGACTCACTGCAAGGCAAACGTGTACAGACACACATCACCGATTACTTCAATCAATAACGGATGTCCTGCGATTTGTGAATAAATGTAAGTCTTCTGAAACTTCCTCTATGCGTGTTAGCTCAATGCACATGCCCCACTGCATGAAGAGCCCTCCGTTTATTTAGCTTTCACTAATTTGAACCTCTTTTAATTCGAACAAATTTTCGGGCCCCATCGAGTTCAAATTATTGAGATTCGACTGTAATAGTACTTCAAAATTGTGGCTAATTTCACAGCACATTTCTGACAATCTGCCATTGTTTGCTTCATGAAATGTACATTGATAGTTGTCTGCTAAATATATTAGTATTTATGAGATACATCGACAATGCTCTAAACTCTAAATAATGTACTTCAAACTTAATATCTGCTCCTAAAGCAGCACTACCTGCTCTAAACTAGCATTTTTCGCTGCTCTGAAAACACTTATAGACGCTCCAACTCAGTACTCTTCCTGCTCCAAAGTACGCTCCAAAAAGTAAAAAGTCACTTTCATCCCTAGAGGGGTTAATACTCACTACCGCTCCGCCAGTGAGAGGATGCGGAGGAGAAGAGAGTCATGTCAGGACATAACAGCGGCAGAAATGGGTGGCAGAGCCCGCGCAATGGAGGCGGTATAGCCTCAATTCCCACAATTTCCACATTTTCATCATGTTGAAACTTTTCCTGGTTGACATGCAGCTAAAGAACACGTCCCTCTGTTTGCAGCCCTTGAACAAGAAGGACACAAGACGTCTATCTTCTGCGTGCTGAATACCTTTCCCTTGGTGTGAGCTTTCAAAATACAAGTACCACTCACACATTGCAACCTAGAAGAAGACAAGTTCACTAGTCAATGTGATGTCTATAGCACATCCCGTTTACAAATGTTCCATTTTCTGATTAGATGTTGTCAGAATTTCGGACCTGATAATGCGTATAATCTAGGTGACCTGAAATGTAATCAGCGAATTTCTGCAATGGGGCTTTCCTTTCGCAGGCTTTGTGTTCATTTTCTTGGCAACACAAGTTTTTTGATTAAAAACTTTAAATGGTCTTTTGATAATAATTTTGAATACTTGTAAGCATATCTCATCATATCCCTCGATTCTAGGACACACTCGACTGCACACTAAACACGTTTTGCGCTAATATAGCTTATGAAAAAGGTTATTTCAACTGAAGCGTGAATATTCGTGACTTTGGTGCTTACGTTATCTGTGCTTTATGCTTTACTCGGAAATAATATTATTCAGAAATTTTATCTTGTATAATAGGCGCACCCCAGCCTTTGAGCTGGATTCTTTGGAAAAAATGTGCGCCTATTATGCGGTAAATACAATATTTATTTTGAGACGTTTTTAGAGCACTCAGTCTCAATTTCGGTTCCTCTGCATTTCTCTGGCAGAAGCCCCATATTTTTAATTATCTAATGCTTGCATTATACAACTGTCTTGTGTGATAGCCCCTCAATATCGTACAATTGAAGAACATGACATTTGCGTATAAACTGTAGTTAAGATTTCTTGTCTTTCAAATGGACAAAAAGACTCACCGAACATGCCTGTCAGAGCCATCTGGTGGACCTTGCGTGTCTCCACATCTTGGCACTTGTATGGAACAGTTTGGGGTGCCGAGATGTCCCCTGTCCCGAAGCTACAATCGACAACACAATGCAATGCTTACTGATTGTGCTTGGCTGGCTACATTGCAGACACCTGCTCGAAATTGTGAATGTAAAGAAGTGCTCTGCTCTATACTGTATTGTAGGCTAGTGCGAATAGTGCATTTCTGGTTTCAAGCGAATAGTGCTTTTGGTCGAATAATTTCTAACCGAGTTCAATTGTATATAGACACATAAAAAAATGGGCATGTTTATCATGACGTAACTAACCTGCACAATATATTTAAAAATTGAAATAATGCCTTTACACAAATGCCTTTTTCGTTGTTGTTGTTCAAAGGCAGTCAAAAAAATTTTTAGTAGCAGCAGGATTTCCTTTTTGGTAGAATGTAAGTGTGTGTACACCCCGTAACATTTTAATATTTGATAGAACATACAGGCCGATGTAACAGAACTCTAAGCTTGAAAAAAAAAAAAAGGTGAATCGATTTGAGGATAACACGTTTTTTCAAAGGGGCCTTGGAGCACCTTTTCAAGTAGCCATGGAATGTATTCCCTAAAGAAATTTGTCGCATTCTGCTACTGCATTTTTCATCTCGACCACACGAAAACGCTGGAAACTATGGAGGCAGGGATGGCATAAGAAAGAAAATAGGTCATGCACACCACACGACCTTTAGCACTTTTTCTTTTCTTAAAATATGTGACTTTTCAGGGCAATCCTGTACATACGCATGGACAAGTTGAGGCCTCCTGTGACAGCCCAAGTAACGACCGAGCGCATCATGCTCGAATCAGCCAATGGCTGATACAATCGCTGCGACCAGTGATTTTTGAGCATGTGGCATCATTTGCCAGAAAAAAGAGCAATTTTCAGCTGACTGAGAATTTAATGTCAGTTTCAGACCAAGTGCTGCACTATTATATTTGGCTCACGTGTTCTCAGTAGCATCAACTACTGATCGGTAGCATTTTCCTCAGAAAGTGCTGCAGGGCCCCTTTATATTTGAAGTAACTCTTCGCAACAAGGCACATTTGCCTTGAATAGGTGATTTCACGACTTATTACCTCTACACTGCAGTGAAACCACCTTTTTAAAAGGTTACATGCAGACACAAAAAATAGGTTACATATACCTATTTGTTCATTATGAATACTAAAGAAATTTTAATTTATATTCGAATCGAAGCCAATTCGAATACTCTACTATTCCTTCGCATACTCGAAACATTCGCATATTCGCAAAAGCCTACAGTATTTTGAAAAAGCAGTGTAAATGTGGGTTTTATTGAATGTCACCAGGTGTAGTAAAGCTTTGCCTTCATGACACTGCATCACAAGTGCACCAGTAATAAACTACGACTGCAGTCTTACACATTAACAATGAACTACAAGATTAAGCTGATGGTTCAGAAATGTGTTCTGTCATCAGTCTTAACACTAATACATTCAAATTCGCTGGAATGCATGCTGGGTTACCCTCCCCTCCGGGCGTGAATTATGATGAACTGCCAAAAATGAGCCAAATTAATGTAACATCATTCCCAGTCCCATTGCATCCAAACAAAGAAATTAAGCCAATACGTTGTCTTGTACCATTTTTAATATTCATAAAATATCTATCTTGCAGTAAGTCACCTTCAATTATTGCATAAAAAAATGCCTAGTAATGTTTTCTAGCTGAATTCATTTTGAGCAGAGAGGAAAAAATACCCTTGACATTGATCCAGGAAGCTGGCATGCCAAACTCATCACACATTGTAGTGTCTCCATCATTGTTATGCTCTGCAGCACTTAGCTGCAGAATGAGCCCTAGAAGTCTGTTAAAATCTGCCCACTGTGTTTCAACGCTCAGCAAGTGACGTGAGGCCTCTATAGTCCGTGTATACAATTGTACACACCGCCGCCACTGAAGGGGATATAAGTGCCACCTTTATCTGATTGTGTAGTGACAGAGATGAAACAATTACGCAAAAACTTTTACGCAAAAGGTTCGGTTAGAAAGATAACTTTTAATTGTGTTTAGCATGTTCCCATGAATGCCCATAGCGGCAAGATCGCGTAGAATCCCGAATCGCCATGTAGTATTGCACGCCTTCTCCAAGTCTAGAAATACCGAAAGTACAAACTGCCTATGAATAAATGCATCTCTGATGTATGTCTCTATGCGAACAAGGTGGTCTATTGTCGACCTCCCCTCTCTGGAACCACACTGAAGGGGGTCTAGTACACTGTTACTTTCTAGAAAGTGGATTAAGCGCCGGTTTACCATTTCCTCATATAGTTTGCAAAGGCAGCTTGTAACGCTATTGCCCTGTAACTGGTGGCCAAGGACGGGTCTTTGCCTTGTTTAAGCACCGGGATGACTATCGCTTCTTTCCATGACATTGAAATATACCCAGTTTCCCACATGGTGTTGAAGAGGGTTAGGAGTGTCTTTAGTGCTTCGTGGTGAAGGTACTTGATCATTTCATACAGTATACGATCGCCACCTGGCGCCGAGTTGTTGCAGTACGCAAGAGATGCCTTAAGTTCAGCAAATGAAAATGGGCAGTTGTAAGCCTCCCTGGACTGACGTTTACATTTAAGGGGTTACCGCTCTTCGCGTTCTTTGAATCTTAAGAACGTTTCTGTATAGTGTGATGCACTTGAGACATAGTCAAAGTGTTCGCCTAGGCAGTCTGCCTGCTCCTCCAGGCTCTCCCCTCGGCTACTTATCAAGGGTAAGGGGTGTGACTCCCGACCCATTAACTTGTTTACCCTATTCCAAACCTTCGTTTCGTCGGTGTAAGAATTTATACCGGAGATGTACCTATTCAAACTTTCTTTCTTTGCAAGATGACGCGTTTCTTTGGCTTGGGACTTAACCTGTTTGAAATTGACAAGGTTTTCAGCCGTTGGGTAATTTCGGAGTAGTCTCCAAGCTTTTATTTATTTATTTATTAGAATACCCTCAGGGCCCGTAGGGCATTACAGAGGGGATGGGTACAACATATATAACACACAAGAAAAAAAGACAAAATAAAGAAACAAGTATCAGATGCGCAAATCAGGAAGGCAACAGAAGTCAACTAAAGATGTATAAGAATTCAAGAACATACAAGACAAAGATAGATAATGGAAACTGCGTATAGTTACAAGCATTGCTGAGAAATTGCAGTCTTGAATAACAAAGGGTCTGTTATTGATACAACGGAAGAGGGAAGGTGGTTCCACCACCTTCCCTCTTCCGTTGTATTAATCTTCCGTTGTATTAATCTTCCGTTATTTTAATCGCCCTATAGGGGATTATGTGCATTTAGATCACCAACGACTATATATGGCGGAGAAAGTTCATCAATGAAGCTTTGAAATTGTGTCTTCAAAAGTTGACAGCAAGGAGGAATGTAAATTGAGGTAATTGTTAGTAGCTTCCCGAACAGCACTGCTCAGACAACAACTGCCTCAAGAGAAGTTCGGAGGTTTAATTGCTTACAGGCAATTTTGTCTTTATTTTGTCTATTGCGCGCTTTTCGACAATCGTCGTTCCACCATGGGATGCAACGTTTATTAGTCATTCCATTAGTTTGCTTAATACATTTCACTGCAGCGTCAATAATAAAACCTATTAGGTATGCTACAGCATCATATATATTAAAATCAGCAATGTCATCTCTGTCTAAAAATGTAATTTCTCGGAATAGTTCTTAGTTGGCTGACTTGGTGTTCCAACGAGGAAAGTCAGGCGAGCATGTATCTTCTTTTGTTAACTTCAACATAATTGGGAAGTGGTCACTCCCAAAGGGGTTCTTGAGAACGAACCACTCCAAATATAGAATAATTGTGCTCGAGACAATACTCAGGTCTATAAAAGAGTATGTGTTGTGTGTAGTGCTATAATATGTTGGTTCTTTTTTGTTTAGTAAACATGCACCTGACGAAAACAGAAAGTGTTCTATTAAACGTCCTCGCGCATCTAAACGGGAGTCGCCCTATAGGGGATTATGTGCATTTAGATCACCAACGACTATATATGGCGGAGAAAGTTCATCAATGAAGCTTTGAAATTGTGTCTTCAAAAGTTGACAGCAAGGAGGAATGTAAATTGAGGTAATTGTTAGTAGCTTCCCGAACAGCACTGCTCAGACAACAACTGCCTCAAGAGAAGTTCGGAGGTTTAATTGCTTACAGGCAACACCTTTATCAACTATTATAGCGACACCACCCAACGAAGCGGCAGTGTCGTCACGGAAGATGGCATATTGCTTTAAAATGTTTGTGTGGACTTGAAATGTGTTTCCTGAACACACAGCACCTTTGGAGTATGTTTATTAAGAAGTTTTCTAATATGATCGAGGTTATGGAGAAGTTCTCTCACATTCCACTGTAATATCTGTGTGTCCATTTTAGATGTGTTTTGTGCTGTGTGCTCAAGGATGGAAAGTTAGCTCACGGACCCTTTCCAGGGGCCGTGACGAGATTTTTCTTTTTTGGATCGGTCGACGGAGTCGCGCCGATCCTTAGGGGCTGGCTGCGCCCTCACGCTCGGTGTTGTGTCCATCGCTTCTTGCGAGGCGCTGGACACGTTTGTTTTGAAGGCCTCGCCTAAAAAGACGAGACCTCCGCGGCCCTCAGCCCGGAGGTTGGGGGGTCTTTCTTGGATGGCGGAGCAGCACTGGCTGCAACCGCCGAGGGGGCGGATGGTGTCACCGCTGGCTCACTACGTTTGTGCCAGACAGCCGCTGGGGGCCGTCGTGGCGCTGCCCCCAACGCGCCACTTCGGCAAAGCTAGTTTCTGGTAGGTAGGACACCTGCCTTCGTGCCTCCCTAAATTAAATGTTTTGTTTTACTTCAATTGTGACAATTTCCTTTTCTTTTTTCCAGCAAGGGCATGACCGTGAGTATGTGGCATGCTCCCCATTACAGTTCGCACAGTGAAGAGAGTTTTCACAGGCATCAGATGTGTGTTCTTCAGCACTGCATTTGGCGCAAGTTAGGTGGCCTCGGCAGTTCTGTGAACTGTGGCTGAACCGCTGACATTTGAAACATCGGA